CCCCCAGAGACAAAGGACCATGGACATGCACAGGTTACCTGGGGTGACTGGGGGGTGGGGTGGGGTGTGTGTTTAAATGGCCATACTCTGCTTTTTCCATGCTTTCATCACCTGGAAGCCCTCTTCTTTCTGTGCCAAATCCCATTCATTCTTAAAGGCTCAGCTTTAGTCTCTCTCCCTCAAAGATCTTTTCTGACAGTGCTGGCTCAAGATATTCTGTAGTTCAGAATGTAACTGCAGTGTCTGTTGGGAGCTGCAGACTGCTTCACCAAGGCAGAGGATGCTTGTCTCACCCCTTGGGACCTTGTACCTCCCAACACAATGACAATGATTCATTCATTGGGACTAATGCCTTCATCCTGTCTAAATATAGTCCATTTCTGTTGTCCAGCCTGGGATTATTCATGGGATATAGAATTTGACTGATTGTATTTGCTATAGATGCAGGAAACACTTTCACAGATGCGCACTGCAATGCTCTGCTTCGTTGCTGGTGGTTTCTCAGAACTGCAGCTGGGTGGGGGGAGGCAGTAACCTCAGCTGAAACCCATATCCTCTGGGCTGAGCCTCTGGAATTGTTATGCGCTCAGTTCCACGTTGGCAGCTTCATCTCCTGAACACCCCCTATAGAATTACATGCTTCCTTCAAGGGTGTTTGATATTTGAGTTACAGTCAATTCCTTTCAAGTACAAAAAAAAAAAAAAACTCGTCAATTCCTTTTAGAGATGGAGACAGCGGATATAGTTTTTTCTTGCTGAGGCTGCCTGGAATATATATTAGCCTAGTTCTGCAGAGAAGCAGAACCAAGAGAAGAAAATAATACTAATGTTATTAATAATAAGGTTATGGAGGCCAAGAAGTCCCAAATCTGCTGTCTGTAAACTAGAGACCCTGGAGAGGATAGGAATAGTTCCCATCTGTCAGAAGGCTTGAGACCAGAAGAATTAATGGTGTAAGTTCCAGTTCAAGTCCAAGCTCAAAGGCAGGAGAAGACCAACATCCCAGCTACAAGGCCATGAGGCCAAGAGAATGAGTTCGCTCTTATCTTGCCTTTTTGTTCCATTTAGGCTCTCAGTGGATTTGGTTGTACCCTACCACACGGATGTGTGTGCGTGTGTATGAAAGAGAGTCTACTTAGTCCATCTATTCAAATGATGAGTTAATCTCATTGAGAACACCCTCACAGATTGAATAATATTTAATGAAATATCTGGGTTCCATCAAGTTGATACATAAATTAATCATTACAGTGTTACAAAAGACAAGCTTGACGGGGGGAAAAATCCCTCCATAAGACTTCGGAGGAAAGCCTGAAGAAGATGCCCAACAGAAGGATGTTTTCCAACCCTGCATGGGTGAGTGTCTGCATGGCAGACAGCCACAGTCCGAAGGCCTCCTCCAGCACTGCCATGTGTGGCTGGGTAGGTGGAACCTGCACAGAAGTTCCCAAGGCAGAAGGCAAGGGGAGTCCAGGACACACATTTGAGGAGTTTCCCTGGGTGCTGTGGAGACTGGCACAGGCCGTGTACCAAGGCTTCTCACACATACTGGGTGTGGGCAAAGTGTCCTCGGCAGAGTGCTAATGTGCATTACAGGCACGTGAACTCCAGTCTCCTTGACATATGGGGGGGGAGGTCACACCTTTGGTTTACCCCATGCCCTATAGGAATGCTGCTTTCTGCATGTGCTGTGGTGTGAAGAAGGCTGGGAAGGCCAGTGCCGGCAGACCTGCCTTGCCATCCCGCTGCAAGAGAGCCACTTCAGCTGGGGCGCGGGTCTCTGTCTGGGTGGCAGAGGGCTTCCTCAGGAGGTGACTGGTGCTCTCCACCTGGGATCTGGGCCAGGGCCTCTCCACGGCTGTGGTTGCCATAGTATCCAGAGGGATTGTGCCACCCAGAAACCTAGATCACGTTTACATAAGTTGAATTCTCAGGAGGCTTGCTATTCTGAGAGATGGTTTTCTCTACCTGAGCACAAGAGTGAGATAGGAGCTTATTAACAGAGAGCTTGTTAACATGGAGATTCCCATGCCATGAGGTAGCCAGGGAGATATAAGCACAGTGCAGGGGCAGGATGAGACCTTACATTACTGTGTGCTGGGGGGATTTGCAGGGGGAGGTCCCACCTTTGCAGTTTCTTAGACCAGGGACAAGCAGCGGGGAGGGGAGGGGGTAATTGTATTGATTTTGATTACAGGCTGAGGCCACAGTGGGGATCAAACTACCTGCCTTTCTGTTCCTACCTGAGTCTTGGCTCCTTTTCTACCCCAACAAGTGTACCTTTGTCTGAACTCATAGGCACGTCCTGGCCATTTAGCAGAGTCTTAGCTTACATAGTGACCAATTAGCATCATCACACTTGTTTAGATTTGCTTTGAGATGTCCCAATCTGGGGATCCCAATGAGTCTTACATCTAACTCAGTGTCATCTCCTATGATTTCTCTCTCTCGCCATCAGATTTTGACTCAGACCTGTAGCTTGGTGCCCTCACTCCTGCTTCTCCTTCCCTCTCCCTCCTCCCCTTCACCCCTGCTCTTGCTCACTCTGAACACTCGTAGAGCTCTGTGTTCAGATGGACCTGGGCATGATCCCCTTCCAAGGAAGTGGCACCTCTTGGTTTGTTCAGCTCACAGATCCTCTTAGACTCAGTCCTTAGTTTCTACTCATGGATCCACTTTCAGTCCATTTCACTTTCCAGTATTTCTTCTACTCTTCATTCGCTATCTTTATAGCTTTACACCTGTATACCCAAAGCTGTCCTGACTGAAGCAAGGATGAGGACCACAGACAGTGACAACCCCTCAGGTACTCCTGAGACTGGACACTCCCTCACGGGGCCGGGCTTACTTTCCCCTGTGCATATTCCAGGTACGAGCGGCTGCAGCAGAACACCGTGAGTGGTAGTGCCAGCTACATGCCGTGACAACCCCTGACTGAGCTCCCGGGAGCTGGAGTCCAGCCTTCCATCTACTTGCCAATCTGTGTGCCTGCTGTGGGCCTGTGCCTGCCCAGGGTGGGCACCTGTTTTCTAATTTTCCCACTGTGGTAATGCCGTGTGGTAATGCTGTGTGGTATTAGAAGTTGGAGTTTCCACACCAAGTTCAGAGGCTGAAGGGCACCAGCATTTAAGTGTGGAATTAGCATCCCTGGCAGGGAGCTGGGGGCAGGCTCTGTGTGTATATGACATACTAGAGAACGGGGCCCTCAGCACTCAGTCCTGAGACAAGAAGGAAGAGCCCAGAATACCCGCTGCCCCAGCTTGGATGGAAAGGGAGGGAACAGACAACACAACAGGTAAGAAGTCAGAAAGGGCTCACATTTGCCAAGGATTGCAAAGTGACATATATTGATTTTTCTGTCTCCTCGTTGGACAGGAACATCTGTAAAACACCCATCGACCAGTTCACGAGGGAGCTCTAGAAACATTAAGAACCCCTCCTGATTCTGCTCTGCCTGTCACTCCTCTCTGGTCTCACTTTTCACCATGCAGCTGCCTCAGGGCCTCAGCTCTGCTTTGGTGAAGATGGGGGTCAGGCAGAGTGGGGATGTGAGAGTGGGCAACAACTGAACAGCAACCTATGGAGCCACAAGCAGGGTTTGCAAGGTTCAGACAGCTCTTCTTCCCAGGCCCCGTGAGTCCAGCTGCCATGTCCATCTAAATATAGTGCTCTAAACCCAGGATGAATGACTCTTCAGGGAAGCTAGTGGAAGTACAGAGGAGGGGCTACAACGTAGACACCTGTTCCAGGATGGAGTTGAAAACACAGGTGAAAAGGCAGGGGACAGGAGAGGATGGACACAGCATGACTGAGTCTGAGGGAGGTGATCTGCAGCCAGGAGCCTTCATCATGTGTCTGTCACTGTGGGTGGTGACATCAGGCCCTCATCAGGGACTCCCTTCGCTTGGTCTGGCAGGGGGCGCTCCTCTCCTAGTCCTCACTCGCTTAAGAGTCCAGCCCAGTGTGGAAACTCAGGGGGCACTGGCACTGGGCACTGAAGGCTGCCAGGGAGACGGTCAGCTACTTTCTGTCCTCCTTGAAGGACTCATGGCACTATTTCCCAGAAATGGTACTATTGCTGGTTGGACTCTCCAGATCTCTGGCCATGGCCCTGGTCTAGGCTACTGCTCACTCCTCTCTTGGGTGGGAGGATCATGAGAAGCATGGTTCACCTTGGCTTCAAGGATTTCATCATAGATCCTGGATTCTGCTGGCCAGGTGTATATTGTTTTCTTTGTTTCAGCATCTGCATCACAAATAAAGATAAAATCTTAGAATGTGAAAGGTAGAGAAATTTTATGGATGATCTCTCTTTAAGATGAAGAAAAGAGGCCCACCAGATTAACTAGTCCCATCTCCTAGAGGAATTGCTATGGTCTGGAAAGCACCTCACTTAAGCCTCACCAGGAGCTCAGTAGGAATTCTCTTCTATTCAGGAGTCCACTTTAGGCGACAGGGATTCACCCCCTCCCCATGTGGGCATTCAGAATAGCTCTCCCACTTGGGGTCTTTCTTAGGGTGATAGGGGAATTAATGATCTCCTTGAGGCCAAAGTTCAGGTTTCTTGAATTGAGAATGATATACAAAAGGATCCAGAAGGATCTTGTGACAATTATGGAATACAAATGAGTACATATCCCTCAATGACTCCCCAAAGATCATGGTCAAAACTCCATGGAACTGAAGTGACTATTATGGAGACCCTCTCGTCCAAACCTCATTTCACTCATGAGAGCACTGAGGCAGAGATGCTTGTCTAATGAAGTACAGCTTGTTAATGTCAGCACTAAACTTGAACCCATGTTCCAGGTCCACCAGACACCAGGGATCCCAGAACAGCTCTGAAGACTATTCAAGGCAACAGTCCTTGGGGCCATCATTCTGAAACTGGGGATGTTTGGAGGGAAGGGAGTGAAAGAGGGTTGATTTTCTAGAACAAAGGACCTGTCCACAGAACTGGGGATAAATAACTTTGGTTCCAGGGAGTAGAAAGTTGCTTTTCACATTTTACCTTTTGGGAAAATACTACATCGACCTCTCTTGCACTGAAGCAGCAGCAGCATGACTGGCAATATAATGAGTATAAACAGGGAAAACACAATCCCTGTACTCAGTAGCCCAATGTAGCGTCGCTGGTGGCTCAGCTTAGAGTCTGCAAAGTGAAGCAACAGTGAGACTAGGTCCTTAGGAAGTGGGCCTACATGGTTGGGGAGATTTGTCCTTAGGAAATGGGCCCCTGTGGTTACGTAGTTTGTTAACTTCAGGGACACAATCAAAATTAAGTGCCCTCAGGGGTATACCAAAGAACCAAGAGAAACTGCACTTCTTGCTATTGAAGGTGGGATTAGAAAACTATTAGGGACAGCTGGCAACTCTCAGAAGACTTTGGACTCTTGCAGGGCACCCTGGGAGTTGACACCCTAGGACCAGCCCTCTATTAGGGAGGTGTACAGCCCCTGAGAATGAAGCCCAGACTCAGGCTTTGCGGCTCTTCAGAGTGACTGCTGAGGCTCCTGGAGGATAAGACTGAGCTGCTTACCTCTGCAAAGCTGCTGGACAGAGATAGAGCCAGAGCTGTTGCTGACAGGGTTCTGGGCCGTGCATGTGTAAGTATGCTCTGGGTCTTCGTGTCTCTGGAAAATTTGAATGATATTCCCCTCCATCCCCAGGGGACTCCAACTATATGTTACATTTTTGTCTTCTTCCTCCACAGAGCATGTCAGTGTGACATTACAGGTGCTATTCACAGATGTCATTAAACTTTGAGTAATTTTTGGCTTCCCAAGCCGACCTGTGAGGAGAAAACATGAGCAAGAAGTAAACAGGAACTGGTTACACCAGTAAGTGTCAACTGTGACATTTCCAAAAATTCTCAAGATGGTGTTTAAATATAGCTGTCACGAAACACTGAATTATAAAGATTTACAATTAAATTATATTAAAAGCAAAGCTAATTAATACTCAAAACTCACCACTTGCTGTTTTGCTTTTGAATATTTTGCTGTAATCTGTGCTCTAGAAGTTATTGTCACCTACCATATATGTCCCTTTAATGACATACACATCGTTTCCAACTCTGCATGCCTTTAAAGCAACCAGGATGGTAATAGCTATGTTACAGAAATTGCTGAATTCTACAAATGAGGGTTTGACTTACTGGTTTGTTGATTGTTGCTCTAGATTTAAGAAATAATGGGGGCGGGGCTCTCCCTGGTGGTGCAATAAGTTAAAGCACTGCATTATGAAGCTCTCCGAAGCCACTGCAGCACAAACTCAATCCCCTGTCAGGGAGCTGACCCACATGGCGCAGCAGACCTCTCCTGACCGGCCTGCTGCTCCCCTTGGCAGTGTATTTCAGTCCATCTGCCTATTCTGCTCCCCTCTCTGTCTCTGGTGAATCCTCTCACCCACCACCCCGCTGGCCTGTACCTCAATTCTGTAAGCATAAATAAATAAATCTTTAAAAAAAATGAGGGCAAAATTACAAAAGTAGATTAAACTTAAAAGTGCTTCCTATCTGTAGCCATTAGAGTATACACACATGCACACATGACCCTCAGAAATATTTTTCCAGTATTTAAATACTATTATTCTAATTCAGCAAAGTGCTCGTGTCTTTTGTCAACAAGAGACATTCTGATATATATGTCTTTACAGAATCACTTTGAAAAAAATCAGTTCATTTAAATGAGACTATCAGCCAATATTCATGTTGGAACTACACTCATTTATGAATTTCAATCGTAGGTTGGCTAGGGAAATAAATGGTCAGCAAAATCAATGAAAGCATTCTCTGACAACAGTCACATTTAATAAATTATGTCTCACACACTCTTTATGTCAATAAACTTTATAGTGTGTGTTTGTTTATTGTAAGTTATGCATTATACTAGAAGCTCAACTAGTACAACTCAACATCATTTCATTTAATTCCATCTATTAAAATCTATATTCTATAGATGAGAAAACTTAAGCCCAGAGAGGGTAGCCAATTTTCTCAAGGTCACACAGTTAGCAAGAGATCTAATGACAACACAAATGTTCGTTCCACCTTGCCTTCTGTGCAGACACAACCTGACTTAATCATGTTATATTGAGCATGTACAGTAGTCTGGAACTGTGCGAGGCCTGGAACTACTATGATTCATTCTTTCTTCCATTTAACAAATAATTCTGGAACACTCACTAGGTGCCTAACAATGTAGATATAATATCATACGTTGATGAAATACATATACCCAACTTGATTTTCAGTAGTCTATCTGAATTGTATCTATCACATCATGGATTAATCACAGTTCTGTTTTTCCTGCTGTGGGCAGATGGATGGTAACATCTTTAAGATATAGCTCAATTATTTGTAATGCTAAGACCTCATGCTGCCCAGAAGAAATAAAATGTGAACCATGTATGTAATTTAAAATTTTCTATTGTCCATATTAAAAACAGTGAAAATAAACAGGTGACATTAGTATTAACAGCCCATTTTATTTAACTCAATATATCCTTTATGCTATCTTAACCTGTAACTAATGTAAAAATTATCAACAAAGAATTTATATAAATATGTATGTCAAAATTTTTGCAATTTGGTGTGTATCTTACATCTATTTGGACTCACCACATTTCAAATACCTAAGGGCTTTAGTTGGCTAGTGGCTACCATATTTGACAGAGTAGTTCTAGATCACTACAGTTCAGATGTTAACACACAAAAGAATGGTCCAGAGACAGTGCTAAAACAGATTCCTGCCTTCAACACTAAAGTTTGGGGGTGCCTGAGAATTTGCATTTCTAGCACCTTCCCAGTTGATGCTGATTCTGCGAGGCCACAGATCACACATAAAGTAACCTTGTCACACACATCTGCTGGTGAAATTGTGACAATTTTGATGACAATAATGCTTCTAATAATTTATCATTTTATTTATTTTAACTTTTTAAAAAAATATTTTACCTTTAAAAAGCACTTGGCATGAATTACTAGGGAAATTCAAATGAAAACCAAGCTGAGATATCACTATGCACCCTCAGGATGACCAAAATAAAAAATAGTGATAACACTAAAGGCTGCTCAGGATGCTGGTAGGAATGTAAAATAGTCGGCCAACTTCTTTGAAAATAAAATGACTCTTAAAAGTTCCGTGGAGATATTAAATTCTGAAAAGACATGGAGGACACTTAAATGCATATTACTAAGTGGAAGAAGCTGATGTGAAAAGAGCTGCATATAATACGATTCCAACTACATAACATCCTGAAAAAGGCAAAGTAGTGAAGACTAAAAAGTAGTTGCCAGAGGTGGGGACATGGGCATCAACAGGAGAACACAGCGTTTTCAAAGCAGTGCAGCTATCATGTATGACACCATAATGATGATTATATGGAACTATACACGTGTCTGAATGCACTGAATATATACAGCAAGTGATCCAGAACGTAAGCTATGGACTTTGGGTGATGATATGTCCATGTAGAGTCATCAGTTGTAATGAAAACACCACTGTTGGACAATTTAATCATGGAGTAGGACGTGCATGTGTGGGCGAAGACAGAGCACATATTGGGACTCCCTGTACTTTATACTTAGTTTTTCTCTGCACCTGAAACTTCTCTAATAGAATCTATTTAAAGGGGGGAAAATAGTTTTGGAGATGGGTAGTGAATTGGGGAGTGACGTGAATGCCACTGAATTGTACATTTAAAAATGGTCAAAATGTCAAATACTATATTCTGCATATTTCATCACAATAGTTGTTTTTAAAAAAGAGAAGTGCATTTATGATGTCATTCCTGGACATTTATCCCAGAGAAAGAAAAACTTACTGGTATGTGAGTTTTCATAGCAGCTTTATTTGTAATAGCCCAGACTTGAAGTAAGAAAAATATCCCTCAAAAGATGAATGGTTAAGCAAACGAATGCATCTATACCATGGAATACTATTCAGCATTAAAAAGGCATTAAACTGGGGGAGGGAAATGCACTGGACTATGGTGATGGCACACGGGTGATTTGGTGATGGGAAGCCCATGGGGATTACAAATGAAATGGGAAAAATACACAAAATGATGTAAAAAACTATTATATTATTAAAAAAAAATCCAAACAATAATAGCCAAAAAAGGCATTAAACTACTAGTACTTAAAATAATTTAGATGACCCTCAAAGAAATTATGCTGAGTGAGAAAAGTCAGTTTCTGAAGATGCAGACTGCATGGTTCCTGATACAGAACATTTGTGAATTAACATAATCACATACATGAAAAAAGGACTTTTCTTCCAGGAATTAGGGAGGGAGAAGAGGTAAAAGTGAGTAGGAAGGGATAAAGGAATCTGTGGTCATGTTATTCTGAAGTATGCTGATTGTGGTAGTGAGCACATGAAGCTACATGTGTGATTATGTTAAACAGAGCCACACATACATATAAGTGGTGACATCTAAATACACTGTGTAGGTGGACCCACTGCCGATGACCGGTTTGGATGCTGTGCTGTAGTTAGGTGAGCTGTTACCATTAGGAGGGACTGACTGAAGGGTACACAGAACCTTACACTTTCTTTTGCATCTATAATTATTTCAAAAGAAAAGAGTCTTTTAGACAAGGGCTTTACATACATTTGTCCTCACAAGAGAAGTGAGTAATATGAGTGTCCTTTGTTTGTTTTAAAGATGTATTTTTTATCCATATAAGAACCGGGGTACAAGAGAGTGAGAGGATTCACCAAAGACAGAGTGGGGAGCAGAACAGGCAGATCTATGGAAACACACTGCTGAGGAGGTAGCAGGAAAGTGAGGAGGGGTCTGCTGCACCATGTGGGTGAGCTTCCTGTTCCGGGACCGAATTCGTGCTGAGGTGACTGCAGAGAGCTCCACAGTGCTGTGCTCTAACCTGTGCATCACCAGGGAGAGACTGATTGCCCATGTTATATACAAAAGAAAAGCAAGGCCCAGGGGACAACTGCTGTGGAAGATTACATGGGTAAAATCCACATCCTCGGCCCTCCCTGGTGGCGCAGCGGGTTAAAGCACAGCACTGAGAAGCTAAAGCCACTTCCACATGAGTTCCATCCCCGCCTGCCCGGAGGTGCAGGCAGACCTCTCCTGACTCACCCGCTGCTCCCCTCAGCAGTGTACTTCAACGATCTGCCTGTTCTGCTCCCCGCTCTGTCTTTCCGCATCTTTGGCCTGTACCCCAGTTCTGTATGAATAAAAAAAAATCCACATCCTCTTTTAATAAGTGTTAATAGGCCATCCCTGGTGGCATAATGGGTTAAAGTGTGGCTAGCTGCAGTCACTTCAGCACCATTTCCATTCCCCATTCCCTGCCCCGGAGGTGACCCACATGACACAGCAGACCTCTCCTGACCCACGCACTGTTCCCCTCAGCAGTGTGCTTTCTCTGGTGAATCCTCTCACCACCCCTGCACCTCTGGCCTCTACTCCAGTTCTGTATGTTAAATAAATAAATCTTTAAAAAAAAAAAAGGTTGGTAAAATTAACTACATTTAAGTATACAAAGATTTAGGGAGTCCAATTATTGGGGGGAAAAGGCTAAATTGCAAATCACAAATAAAAACAAAACTTTCCATTTACCCACAACTTACGGTAGATTAGAAGTTTGTAATCCCTGCTGATGGTACTGAGCTTATCTGGGTTATTCACATTTATGTCGACATGGTAGATACCTGCGTCTTCCATGCTAAGATTTTTTATCTCCAGGTTGTAGTTATGATCTGAGACATTTATTCGGTTATCATAATTCTGGTGAGTCACAGTGACTTTGGGTGTTCCTCCTGAGGCTGCTGTATTTATGAAAGCAACTGATGTTTTGGAATTCCAAACAATGTTTATAACTTGCTGTGGTTCTTGGATATTCAAGGGGAACATAACTGACTCTCCCAGGATCCCATTCACAGTGTAGACATCTGCGTTACTTCTAGCTGTTTCTGGCCCTGAGAACACAAAAAGAAAACCATTGTGCCACTCTAGCATCTTCTGTCCTCCCAACTCACACCCTTTCTGGAGAATGCCTTCTTTTCTTGGGTGCTGACTTTGGGAGGAGAGTTTCTACTCCATGCATATGTGATATGTTTTGATAACCATGTAGTTCCTAAAGATAACTAAGTTTCCAACTCAATTTCAAGGCTCTGTGTGGTTAAACACTTGTCTGGAGTTTAAGACTCAGAACAAGGAGAGGGCTGAGAGATGAAGACCACAAACTCAGCGAGGTGCAAGATATTAAGTGCCTTTCTTACCAGATCACATTGCCAAGTGGAAGAAGAATTGGGACAAAAGCCAGGGGTGTTGTTATTGCTTCTTTTCCTGTGGTCTTTGCTAAAAGATCATTACATATGCTTGTCTTCCCTCCTACAAGATACAGGCAGAGTGCTTTGGCAGATCTGGAGGAGATGTGGTCCAAATTTGTGATTTCTATATTTTGTTGTTGTTCACTATATCCCCAGTCTCTGAAAGAGTACCTGACACATAGTGGGTACTTAGTCAATAGTTACGGAATGAATTAGTAAGTGGAATTCACTTACTGTTGCCTAAAATCTCTTGGAAAATTTTCTAAAGCAAGCAACATACATTCATTTACTCACATTTATGATGAATGCTCACATTTATTCAAAGTTCACTTTCTTTCCAGATATTACAATAGGTTTTTATTAATATAATTTATGGTATGAGTATTTATTGAGCATTTATTCTGTTAAGCATGATTTGAGGAGCTGTGGATACAATGGTGAAGGAAAACAGGAGTAGTGTCTCTCTCTAGAGTTTAGCAGTTTAGTTGACAAGTGGTTAGAAGCCACTTGTTCCTGGGAACTAAAGAACTCTGTCTATTAAAGACGAAAGGATGAGTGCACTTAAAATATGACATGGGGAAAATGAAAGGTTTATTTTTTTCCTCTTTCTTTGCTTTTCCATCACCGTGTAAAGATAATTACAATGTGTTTTTTCTCCTCTTCCTTCCCCTCTTCTCTTGTTACTTGTTATCCTCTCTGCACTCAATTAGTGAGGGATTGTTTCCGGCCAGCAAGGATGATATTCAACATATTTAATTACTAAAATTAAAGTATTTAACCAATCAGGAAGGGCACCAGCTATTAACAATAATCAGGCCACTCAGTACTGCAGGCCACTCTGCAGTACTGACTGCATGTAAGCCCCAAAGAGCAGGACATAAGTGGGTTCAGGCTGAGCCTAAAGTTTAGCCAGGGTTTGGCATAAAGAAGGAAAGACTAAGGATCCTGGAGAACACTAGTCATTTTGAAGTGTCACAAAAAGCAAGGAATTTCTTAAACTGATGCTGCCCTTGCTTTCCAGCACAATAACTCCTGAATGAGCCTAGGAGCTGCTAAGATCTTTTTTTTTTTTTTTTTTTTCAGATTAACCAGGACTTTCCCTTAGGAAGAGTATTCCAGGCAAGTTCTGATGACCTAGTTGGGGTACAGGCCATTCAGAAGATGGTACAGGGCTCTTGGGGGGAAGGGGAGGCAAGGACCTTATTTATAGTCACTAAGGGCTGTGCACCCAATGTGAGTAGGGACTCAGAGACAGTTGTAGTCCTGAGCACGTACAGCCAGAGAGTAAGACAGATACACATACAAATGAAAAGTTAAGACAAGGGAGTGAGTATTAGGTGGAGAGAATAGAAGAAGAGACGAAGGCTGCCTTTGGTGGCAGGAGGTAAATTTGCCAATAGTTATTTCCTTGAACATCAATTCTCTATAGAAAAGCTGATGACGTCTAGTGGAAGCACGCGAATCCCTGGACCAACAAACACGAGTGTGTGCTCTGTGTGGTCACATGAACCTCCAGCCCAGGAGGACAATGAGTTTGGTTTAATATGGCCGTGCAATCTGGACACTCTTAATGATCCTTGAACAAGTGGGTCCACATTTTCACATTGTGCTGGGCTCCCCAAATTCTATAGCTGCTCCTGGTCCCAGACCACCCACATCTGTGAAGACTCTTTAGAAGTGAGAACTTGTAGGTATGTGGTGGTGGGTTCTTCTTTGCCATGTTCTCTGTGAATGTTGAAGATTTCAGTTAATTGTCTTAATTTGTTCGATTATCTTATTATTGGGTATACATTTTCATTCGTTAGTTATAAATTTTCATGACATGAAAATTCAAAATTATAAACTCAAATTTGTTTTCAAAAAAGAAGTCAGGTCCTAGTTCTTAAATGCCATTTTGCTTACCAGGTTTAGGTTGGGGTGAGAAAGAGGACAGGATGTGGGTTCCATAGACTCATGGTTCTCATAGGTTCTTACATCAAACCCAGGAAATGTGTAGGCATTTTGCTAAGGCCCAGATCATAGTATTAGAACAGTGCATAGCCACAGGATGGTGTGAGTGTGTGATGTGTATTTGTTTTATCTCCTGTAAAGTCATTCAGGAAGCAGCGCTGGGTTGGCAGATAAGGGGAGTAGGAAAGTCCTGCAGCTACTTGTGCTGCTGGTGCTATTCCTGAGAATCCTGTGTGTGCTGAGAAAGGCATGGGATGTGAACAGTCCTAAGGTGAAAATTTTGTCACCTTCACACACTCCAACTGTGGTGGGAGAGAAAGAATTACACCTAACTGTGGTTTTATAACCCGAAAGCCACTGCATGTAGTGGAAAGGTAGGGTGTTAATGATGTGAGTTATGGGAGAGCAGATCATGGGAAAACCCTGAACCTACTTGTACTACTCGAGTTATTCCTACTTATGAGCTGGACACTTAATAAAACCATAGAACACTTATGAGTCAGTTTCTTCATCCATAGAATGGAAATAATAGCTATTAAATTTTCCCTATCTAATTAGTGATCAACAAATGCCATGACATACTCTGTAAATCAAGGCAATATAAATGCTAGTTATTTCTGAAGTTGAGAATGATAATGAGGAAGATAATACCCATCTTCGTCATCGTCATCTTCGTAATGGGTACATACCCTTTAAGTTTTCCCTAGTCCACCTTGTGAGGGCCTGCTAACACCAGGGTCACACTGGACAATGTATGAAGAGTCACTACTAAGGGCTAATTCAAGTCAAGTCACAAGGGATAGTTTTAGAAACCACTTACTCTTCTTTTAAAAAGTTCAGTTTTTTTTTTTTAAAGAATCTTCCTACCAAACAACCTCAATACTTATTTTTCTAGGTACTGAAGGGAATCAAACATTTTTAGTGTTGGTGGGGGCATGGGGAGCAAGAAAAGAAGAACACCTGGTTGCGCATTGAGAAATTTTATGTCATTCTCCTTGAGGATGGAAAGTCCTTGGTCATAAGGTCTTTCAGAAAAAGGAAGCTAACATATTTTACTGTTTTCTCTATTTCTTGCTGTGTATAATCTTTTGAGATTTGGGTTAACTTGAATCTTCTTTAAAACAAACAAACAAGGCCCTCCCTGGTGGCGCAGCGGGTTAAAGCACAACAGTAAGAAGCTAACGCCACTTCCGCATGAGTTCGATCCCAGCCTGCCCGGAAGGAGATCCACATGGCGAGGCAAACCTCTCCTGACCCGCCCGCTGCTCCCCTCAGCAGTGTACTTCATCGATCTGCCTGTTCCGCTCCCCACTCATCTCTGGTGAATCCTCTCACTGCCCCTGCACCTCTGACCTGTACCTCAGTTCTGTATGTACAAATAAATAAATCTTTAAAAAAAAAAGAAACAAAATCAAGTACACACACCAATTCAAAAACAAATATAGGTTAGTGGTTGTGTGTTACCATATTTCCATTCTTCTGTATTTGCATACCTTTATTATTTATGTATTAATTATTAATTATTGAACAGAAACATGAAAATAAGGGGCATAAACAGTTCCACTAATATCAGTCTTCCAACTGAATTCTCATACCTCTTTCTAGCTTCTGTACAGATGAACCTAGGTGCTCTCAAACTTGCAGATTTATTCCTCCTGAGTTTTAAGACAAGAAAGGCTTGATTCAGAAGATGTTTCAGTGCCCTTATGACCAGCATTGACCTTGGGTTCCTGCTAAGGTGGCACTTGACTATTTTGTCAGTCACCATATTGATAACCAGGGCTTCTGGGTAGATGGCACCGATGAGGCAAATCTCTGCTTCTTCCTACTGAAATCATGTGTCATCAAGATAAGCAAATTTACAACCTTTATTCAGAAACTGGATTTTTGATGTCCCGATATTCCAGGTTCCCATTCATAATATATTTTTCATTTTATGTCTGGGTTTCTGCTTTTGAATCCTTTTTGAATTTAGCAGAAGCCAATTTAAATCTTGTTCTAGACCAGACATGTCTTTGTCTTGATGCCCATCCATGAAGGGATGTTGGATTAATGACAAGTTGGCTCTTGCACAAACTCTTCACCAGGCATGAAATCCTCTAACTTTCCAGCTAATGGTTGGGGTCTACTTAACGATTAACAGATACCCACTTGGGTCTACTCACTGTTGGACACTTAGTATCAAATGCTAAAATGCCCTGCAAGGGTGCTTTCTATTCAACAGGGCATCAATATCCTATCTATATTTGAGCCTTGTTTCTTTGGAGAAGTTAAGTTAACTCAAATCTGGTATGTGAATGGTACCTGAACCATGTCTACATATAGTCATTCTTTGGTTCTTCTGCCCTGTGCCTCTACCTTAATTCCTGATGTTGGCAAAGACATGCCGACTAGCTTTTCTGCAGGGAATTGTGGAGATAGGTCCAGCTTCTGCCTGGACTATTCTGACTTGATGGGAGTAAATCATGACTTTTCACTGGCAAATCACCAAATGTGGTAATGAATGATTATCAGTAGGGACAGTACTTTATTCCACTTCAGAATCAAAGTGGGTGAAGGCAGAAATGGTCAGTGGTTAAGTCTAAAGATATTGGCATGCAAAACCTATTTCCTTCAATTGTTACCTAAACTAATTCTAATGTTTTCTGTCTCAATGTTTTCATTCATAAAAGTAGGATATTGAGCCGTCCCTGGTGGTACAACAGGTTAGGACACAGCACTGTAAGCTTGCTGCAGCCACTTCAGTGCAAGTTCGATCCCGGGTCCCAGAAGTGATCCACAGGGCTCAGTAGATCTCTCCTGTCTCATCTGCTATTCCCCTCAGCAGTGTCCTTGTTGATCTGCCTATTCTTCTCCCCACTCTGTCTCTGGTGAGTCCTCTCATCACCCCTGCACTTCTGGCCACAGTTCTGTATGCAAAAATAAATAAATCTTTTTAAAAATTGGGATATTACTAGTAGCTTCACCCAGAGGGTGAGGATTAAATAATTAGGGTAGACTACTTGGTACACTATCAGGCTAAGAGTGATTGCCTCATCAATTATTTAAAAAATAAATTTATTTATTTATGCATACAAGAATTGGGGTATAGACCAGATGTGTGGGGCATGAGAAAATTCACCAGAGACAGAGTGGGGAGCAGAACAGGCAGATCAACTGAAATACACTGCTGAGGGGAGCAGTGGGTGACACAGGAGAGGTCTGCCATGCCATATGGATCTCCTCCCTGGCCAGGGATTGAACTCATGCTACAATGACTATGGATAGCTTTATATTGCTGTGCTTTAACCCACTGTGCCATCAGGGAAGGCCCAGTATTAATATTTTTGATGGAAAGGGAGAAGATTGCAGAGGAGGAGTTGAAGAAACTAAGCAATGAAGGTGTAGAGAAAAGGAAGAATTAAAAGAGTTTGGGAGAGAACAGGTGGAGGGTGATGGGCACAGAGCAAAAGTAGTGGACTCTGTCTTCTACCCCAGAGGATCCTTGGAGTGATGGCCAGAGAGAGACATAATGTCATGATAAGAAAGCTGAAGCTAGAGTTTAAGGCTGTGAATCTTGGTTCTCAGACAAAACTTTTCCAACATGGGAGAGTCATGAGTGCATACTCAGACTTACTGTTTCTACCATCACAAAAAAAAAAAAAGGGGGGGGGGAATTCTAACTTCCTTTTTCCACTGCTTCAATGCTCTGAATTCTAGGGAAATACGTAAGATTACTGCTGATTCCTAAACCTAAGGCTAAATTTAAGGAACCACTTTGCTAGGAAAGCAGCAGAAGGAACTTAGATAGATTTCTGCACTGAGGAAATTTGTGGATTAATCCTTAAAATGCACATCGATGATTCAGCAAAGGTAAATTTTATGTGGAAGTACTTCTGTTTTTCACTTCTACAAAAAGAAACCCCACCTCAATTAAAGGGTCCCTGACAAAGGATACCTCACCCTTCCCTGGTTTCTTTTCTAGAACCCCAAAAACCCACCCCTAAGTAAACTCCCTCCACCACTTTTCTCCTGCTCATGTTCTGCAGATCATCCCTAACAGAGGCCTGTTACCCAGGACCTCTGGCCTTGGCCTTGATTCTTCCTAAAACCATGTGAAAACATATCTGAAAATAGAAGAAACCTTAGCTAATATGTGTGTGTAGTATTTACAGTCTCAAGGCACTGCAACAAGTGCTATACACGTAGCTTGAAATTGTGATTCTAAAAACAATCATATTGGACTGGTAGTTCCTCCTTTTTAAGTTAAAACAAAGGCATGTTTTCCCAGAATCACAAAGAAAGTGTCTGAATGATTCATGACCAGTTGGCTTGGCAACTTTGATTTCACTTTCAGTAGATAAGGTGCATGTATCTCAGGACTCTTGTATCTCAGCATATGTCAGTCCTCTGGAAGAGCATCAAGGACTTGAGTATGTACTGAGTTGGAAGTCAGGGAAAGCATGGGCCAGAAAGAGGAGTAGTCATGGGATTGAAAGAACAAATTCAACTTCTTACTCATTCAGGTTGTAAAATTTTAAATGAAGTGTTTGACTTGAATCTTAATTTATACTTTAAAAATATATAACAGGATTAATAATATTCATCTTGTTTATTTTCATGATTTTAATATGGATCACAAGGATGTCAATATAAAACCTGTAGAAGTCTTTGCAAACTAAGTAGTATCAAATGCATAATGACCAACTTTCTCTGGAAGACTGGGGACATTTCTGCATCTTCCAATCTTCCACTTAGGTCCTAATCCAACTCTTCTCTATGGTTTTGCTTGCATTTTCTGCCCTTCATGTCAGAGTGCCTAGCACAAGCTCCAAAATGATAGCCTGCCTAGTGGGTGTATCCGCTATGAAGCCTGAATTAAAAGAGCCACCGCTATAAATAGTCAAGGAAGAGACCAAGGTGCATTGATCCTATCTTTTCTGGAACTCCTAACTCACCAGATTCTCTATATTCTAAATCAAGCCAGGAATAAGCTGGTGCATTTATAGAACTTGTGTGAGCTACTATAAGTAGATTTATTAAATGAGAAATATAGTCAATTTTGACGTAAACAAGGCAATTGTTTGGATTTAATGAGATAATCTATAAAAAAAAAACCCTAGATTATATATAAAACCTATGTTAGTGATAAGGTTTTATTTGTGCTAACAATAGCCAGCACTCATTTTGTCCTTTATAAATAAGGTATAGTAAGAAAAAGAGAGTTTTCATTCAAGTTCTCCATATTTTTTTTGAGACTCTGCTTATTTGTAAAATAAGGATAGTAATGTCATCCTCGCTTATTTTAGAGAGCTTTTGGAGGATATAAGCAGAGAAAAGCTCAGATTCTGCTTTTCAAAAAAGGGAACTTATAAAGATTAAGTAATTAACGTGATTATTATTAGCAGGCATCACTCTATTTGATAGAGCAGTGAGATATAATGGGGAGTGCATGTCTGTCAAAAACTAGGTAATATTTTATTTTTTCCTATTATTGTATAATTTTTTCATTGATTTACAAAACAGTACAGGATTCAGTGGTATAAGTTCACATCTCTTCAGATGTATGAGGTAACACATTTTAAACTTCTAAAGAATTTGTTTTTAAGTTATTCAAGGGTTTGGATGATTTGTTCTTTCTTGGGGCTTCTTGGGAGGTTCCATGTAGTGTAAATCTCTTAAACAGAATAGCTCATTTCAGACCTTTGGAGGCTGGGTGGAGACAACAGTCAAAAATGTAAACTATAAAGCTAAAAACAATTGTTTCTCCCCAGTCAGATGGATCCTTCTAGGACAGAGGGAGTTTCTATTAAAACAGATCAAAGGGGCATTTCAACATTTTTCTTAAGGGAAATTTCTCAAAGTAGACAACTAGAAGGGAGTCAGCAAGGGTCAAAACTCACAGGTTTGCAGACAGAGGAGCAAGAGCCACAGGTGGAGCCGAGCCATCTTCTCCGAGGCTGAACTCTTCTGTGGACAAGAACAGCAGGAACTCTGTGAGCAAGGAGTTGGTTTCACTTGTGTTATTTTTGATCCTTTTTATAGAGAGATTAAGAAAGGAAGTATGAACAAAGGCTAGTTTCCATCTTTCACCAGAAAATTAACCCCTTTACCCACAGGGCACTGAACCTTATAACTTTATAGAATGTTACAAACAAAGTCCTTCCCCTAACTTTTTTTTTTTTCTACCAAAAAAACTATGAGTAAGCTGACTTAGGAAATGTTGACTTATATTTTATGATGCTAGGTTTTTTTTTTCTGTTAGGTAACATTAAATGTATGGTATTTACTTATACAACACGTGTTTATTGAATGCTTCCCAAGTGCCAGGTGTTGTTTGGGGAACTCGCAATGAAAGAGCAGCAAAGGCTTTATTTACAATCAGAAAGACACAGAACCAATGTAAATGCCCAAAAGTGGATGACTGGATTAAAAAGATGTGGTACATATACACAATGGACTGTTACTGAGCAACCAAAAAAGTTAAACACATGCCTTCTGCAGCAACATGGATGGAGCTGGAGGGGATCATGCTCAGTGAGATAAGCCAGAAAGAAAGGGTTAATACCAGATGGTTTCACTCATAGCAGGAGAATAAAGGACCAGGGGAAAATAATAATAATAATGAACAACTATATACCAGAGACATTTTATAGGGGTGAAGTGGGAATGGGATCAAAATGGGGGAAAGTGCCCTGGACTATGGTGATGGCACACGGGTGAACTGGTGATGGGAAGCCCACGGGGATTACAATTGAGATGGAAAAAGGCACAAAATGATGTAAAAATAATCTATTATATTATGAAAAATATATAGACATAAAAAAATTAAAAAGGCAGCAAAGTAGCTAATCACACTTCTCCCATGAGGTCATGCTGTGCAGAGAGCACAATGAAATGGGCAGTTTCAACACAGAGTGATAAGGACTGCAATAGAGAAATGCAGGGAAATGGAATTATTTAAACTCACAGGATTAACCTGTGTTCCGTTCACATTGTTAGCAAGCTTGATTTCCTAAAATGTATAATTACTGCACTTGCAAAAACACACCTCTGTCATGCATGCTCACAGGAACAAGAAAGAAAATATGAAGTTGCCACATACTGTTGAAAATCTGACTTTGTTTTCTTTCTTCCCTCTTCTTTTTCAGTAGGATGCATATATTTCTTGGTAAAATTTTAATTATTTATTTATTTATGTATATTACGTCACTGTTCACTTTGTATGGTGTTGGCCTTTTTTCTGGGTGTAGTCCCCATAGAATTTCCAAACCAACTCACCGGAGCATCATCACCACCATTCTCTTCCCGCTTGGTGATCCCTCTCCCTCCCATGCAGAACGGCCAGTTGTCTGTTTATTTTTGTTTTGTTGTGCTGTGTTTTTTATTGTTATTATTTCCCCCCTGACCCCTTAATTTCTTCCCCTATACTCCTCCTAGCTCCTAGAAGTGAAACCATCTGATCTTTTTCTTTTTCCTTCTGACTTACTTCACTGAGCATAATTCCTTCAAGCTCCATTTATGTTGCTGTGAATGGTGCTAGTTTATCTTTTTTTTTTTGATTGATGAATAGCATTGCATTATGTACATATCCCACATCTTCTTGATTCAGTTATCTATTTTTGGGTATTTAGGTTGTTCCCAAGTCTTGCCTATTATAAATGGGTAAAATGCGGCAAAAACATAGGGGTGAAGGTATTTTTTTGATTCGATTCTTTTGAACTAATGTTTTTGTGTCTTTTGGGTAGATCCCTAGGAGTGGGCTTGCTGGGCCACATAGTAACTCCATTTTTAGTAGTCTGAGGAATGTCCATACAAGTTTAGTGTTGAACAAGTCTGCCCTCCCACCAGCAATGAAGGAGGGTTCCTTTATCACCACATCCTTCTCAACATTGATTGTTGCAAGTTTTTTTAATATGTGCCATCCTCACTGGTGTGTGGTAGTATCTCATCATGGTTTTGAGTTGCATTTCTCCGATTGTGAGGAATGTGTAGATTTCTTCAGCTATTGGCTCAGAGTCAATTATCATCTAATTCAGATCTTCAGTTCATAGGGAGAGGTTCTGCTTCAAACAGAACTTTTTCTTCCTGTTTGCTCCTTTCTTTTTCTCTTAACCTCTCCTACTTTTTTCAAAAATGATTTGAAGTGAAAATAGGAAAAATAACTTAAAATAATAACATTATGTTAGCTTAAAAATGCACATGCTTCTTTAAAAATCTTGTAATCTAGAATTAGAAACAGATAGAGATGAAAAACAATTGAAATTCTCTAAAAGAATTACTTTATGTGTATGTATAGAAAAGACAAATAGGCCCTCTCTGGTGGTGCAGTGGGTTAAAGCACAGCACTAAGAAGCTTAAGTCACTTCCCCATGAGTTCGATCCTTGTCTGCCCTGGCAGACCTCTCCTGACTCGCCCGCTGCTCCCCTCAGCAGTGTACTTCGTCTCATCGATCTGCTTGTTCTGCTCCCCACCATGTCTCTGGTGAATCCTCTTACCCTCTGCATCTTTGGCCTGTACCCCAGTTCTGTATGAATAAATAAATAAATCTTTAAAAAAAAGACAAATAACTATTGGTATTAAAAAGGATAGAAAAGAGGAGGAACAATATAGCTGCTCTATGTTCAAAGTTGTTCTTCTCCCTATTCTTGGGATTTTCTCCTTTTTCCTCTCTCCATCCTGCATCACTAGTTTCTCCCTGATTAGTGGACAAGCACACAAATACACTTTATAACTTAGTCCCACGCATTTCACACCCTCCATTAAACAGTCTCATTCCTTTGCTCCCATTAAAAGTCTTACTGCAATGGCTACATGATCATTGTTCTGTTCCCTTATTTTTCAAATCAGCCCTCTCCAAGGCCTTTCCCGGCTCTACTGAAGCTCCTACTGTCAAGTTCATCCATGACCTCCTCATTGTGAACTCCACTGGTCCAGTCTTTGTTCTCCTCGTTCTAGAAAAGCCATAAAATGTTGTGCTCAAGTCAGGAGATGCTTGAGATCAAATGGGGGCACTAGAGGGTGGAGTCCAGAAGATGGTAGGAGAGTGAAGATGTTGGCATTCTACTGCCCTGTTTCCTACCTAGTACCCCTTACTGGCACCTGGTCACTTGAACAGGTGTAAGGCATACATGTATGAAAGACAGACACCTAACAATTCTGGGTTTAAAAAAAAAACCCACAAAGATTAAACCTAGCAACTTGTAGATGGAACATAAAGACACTTTATCAAGAAAAAGAAGCTTCTTACTACAACCCATAAAAATAGACTGGGTTGGAAAGATGGTGTCAGAGGAGGTTCCCTGCTTCACACTTTGAGAGATAATGTGTTAGGTCCAAGAACTCGATTACCGCGAAAGACAGAGCGTCACTCAAGAATGCAATTTGCAAAGTAGAGTTTATTGGGCTGGCTAGCCAGGGTCAAGCCGTTCCTTGCCGGACACGCAGGTTCAGCCAAGACCCCGACCAAAGGAAAGTTAGGGAATATATTGGCCTTGTTGGCCGTTACATATGTCAGAGCCCGCGCAGATTCAACTTTAGTAAATGGATTCAAGGATTAACAGACATCACAGCCTGGGTCACAGTTCAACCACCCAATAACAGGTTTCCAGGAATAGATGTCTCATTTCCTGGTGCTCCAGATCCAATCAGCCTGGGCCACACCACTCCCATCATCCAATCAACCCCAAATGTACATTGTCCCTTCTCAACCCATCCTGCGCTCCAGGGGGTGGGGCGGGGGTTGGTGCCCACCCGGGTCAGTCCAGCCTTGCTCAGGCCTGTATCAACCACCCCCTCCATTCCTTCAAATGGAGGATAATCAAAGTAGCCGTCAAAGCGCTGGACTCAGAGGGTCCCATGACTTGAGGAGAAACTAGGGCACCTTTTGGACATTGGAGACCCACACTAACTCAACAGAAGAGGCAGAGGAAATTCAGTTCTACACAGCCAAAGGGGATGGAGACTGTCAGGAAAGGAACTAGTGGGGCAAATCAGTGTTCCTGTATTTGGCATGTGGTCCTGGGGAGGGGAAAGCTCCTCCCCTGAGGGGAGATGCAGGCAGAGACGCCAGGGTGAGCCAGGTGGGTTGGGTCCCCAGTGAAGAGGACAGAGCACAGAGAGACCTCCCCTCCCCCAGTCCCCCTAGGAATTGAGTTGATCCTAAGAAGTGTCACTTAGCGTGGTCCAAAGACTGTAGAGATGGAAAGCCAAAAAGAAGAGCCATCAGTGGTGACACAAACACGACCCACCCTCACTCACCACTTTCGCCAGCGACTGGACGCCTCCAAGGCCCGCCCCTACCCCTCACTCAAAAGCCCCTGTTCAGTTCTTCCCACACAGTATTAACAGGAACACAAAACAACACAGCACCATCTGCTGGAAAAGTGAAAGTTCTGCACCCCTCAGGCCCCGAAAACAGGCAGTAAACTGACAACGCAGGAATCCTCGAGGGAATATTTTACCTCAGAGAGAGAAAACAAATCTCCAGATTCCAACCTTAAAGTGATCTTTTTTGCTATCATATATAGAATTCAAAATTGCCACAATAAAGAAATTCACAGAAATGGACAAAAAAAAACCCCCACAATCTGAACAAATATATACCAAGAAAATAAAAAAAGTAATGTCTAAGAAATAAAATTAATGAATAGAAACTGAAACTTTAAATAAAATAATGGGAATGCAGAATGAAAAAGGGTCAACAAAGGGGATTAAAAATTCTGGGGGATGTTTATTGCTGCTTTATTTACAATTGGAAAAACATGGAAGCAGCCCAAATGCCCAAAAGTAGATGACTGGATTAGAAAGATGTGGTACATA